TGGCATGTGGAACTACGGCAACTGTGGAGGCCATATGCCCCAGGACCCTCTGGATGGATCTCGCCGTAACCGTTCCCTCTCGTCGAATTTGATGGATATGGCGCGCGAGAGTCTGCTCTCTGTCCTGAGGGAGGAAGGCTTTCTCCAACGTCAAATCCAAGCGAGCTCCAATGAAGGTGAGCGTCTGTGTCGGAAGAAGAGAAGATTTCTCTGTATTAATATGTAGACCCAGACTATCTAGTAAGGCACGGGTTGTATGGATGGTGTCTAGTAGTCCTTCTCTGGATTGCGAGACTAACAGCCAGTCATCGAGGTACAGGTAAATTTGTATGCCCTGACGGCGTAGGAAGGCACAGACAGGAGCCACACATTTGGTAAAAATTCTCGGAGCTGAAGCCAGTCCAAAGGGTAAAACTTTAAACTCATAAAGTTGGTTTGCAACAGCAAAACGAAGGAAACGCCTGTAATTTGGATGAATTGAAATATGAAAGTAGGCGTCCTTCAGGTCCAGTGAGGCGAACCAATCCCCTCTCCTTAACAACGGCAAGATGTTTTGAAGGGTGGTCATACGGAACTTTCTCGGTATAATAAACTTATTCAAGTCCCGTAAATCCAAAATCGGACGTAGACCGCCGTCCCGCTTGGGGACCGTAAAGTATCTGGAATAGAATCCGTGGAGTCCGTCAGATGGGAATACTTGACGAATCGCTCCTTTAAGAAGAAGTTGATTTATTTCGTTGAGAAGTACCGGCGAACATGAGGTGGACCGGATCGGACTCGATGGAGGGACGATGTCAAATTCTATTCGATAGCCGTATTGAACGATGGACAATACCCACCGGTCAGATGTGATGGACTCCCAAATGGGGAGTCGGCTTTGGAGCCGGTCCCCAGATGAGAGGGGGGTGGGTATTAAAGGAGCGTGAGGAGTGGTTCGCCAGTCCCGTCAGCGCTGTCTCTGATCGTCGAAGCGACGGCAGCCCTGTTGGAAGCGCTGCTGGGGCTGAGGACAGCGACGCTGCTGCTGTTGTTGCTGGCGAGGTTGCGGCAGCTGTCTCTGTTGGTATGGCTGCCTGTAGGATGGCCGATTCCAGGACCACTTACGTCTGCTATGTGACTGGATCTCCATCCTGCGCGCCGTCATTCTTGACTCATGTAGTTTCTTGAGTTTATGGTCGGTGCGTGAATGGAAGAGTCCCGAGCCGTCAAAAGGCATCTCTTCTATTCACCGCTTCGTTTCCTCCGGGAAATTACAACTCCGAAGCCATGCATGTCTCCGGAGGGAAACGGCACCGACCAAGGCCCGGGAGTCAGTGTCCACGTGGTGACGTGCCGTGGACAACTGCTGCACCGTGACCTGCACGGCTTCTTTGATCAGGACCTTCGCAAGGTCACCCTGGTGGTTTGGGAGGATGGAGGCGACGTTGTGGAGGCGCTGCATAATAAAATATTGATAGCGTGCCAACGTCGCCTCATAGATAGAAATGCGAAGTCCTAAGCCCGAGGCAGCATAGACCCGCCTGGCCAGGGAATCTATTTTCCGGCCCTCCTTATCCCTCGGCGCCGTATGTCCCCTCGCCTCCCTGCCTTGCGAGGATTCGACGACCGCCGAGTTTGGTTTAGGGTGCTTTAACAGGAAGGGAATGTCTTCTTCCCTGACCCTGTACATAGATTCATATCTCCTGGACGTCGGTTGAGGATGTGAAGGTAGGTCCCAGGGCTGCGTCATCGACTGCCGCAGGGTAGTTATAAGTGGCAGAACGATAGAGGTCGATTGCTCCCCGCGGACGACGTAGTAGAACTTATCCGTCAACGGTCCCGGGTGCTGGGCAGCGTCGATGTCCAGGGACTGGACAAGCCTCGACATCAGCTCCGCGAAGGAGACGTGTGACTCATCGGGTGACGCAGGATCCTGGGATGTCACCATGACGTCCGGGGAGGTTGAGTCTACGTCAGAGTCATCCGAATCAGCACCATAGTATGGCGGGGCAGAAGATGATGACTCCACCGGTGATAAGGAGCGGCTGCTTCCGCTTTGCGGGGATCGAGGCGGTACCCTCCTCGAATCCACAGCCTGGGGCGGAGGTGAGGATCGCGCTCTGGGAGCAGGGTAGTATCCCACAGAGAGCGGGTCTCCCCAAGGTTGGCAGTAGGGACGACACCAACTCTCCGGGCGTTGTTCTACCGAGCGGCTCCTCCGATTCCCTGGTGGGGACAGGCCAGCTTCTGTCTCCAATGTCACCACGGGCCTCGGTGTCGGTGACCTCGCTCTGGGAGGGGAGTCCTGAATTTCCCCGTCCGAGATAGACCCCCGTAGAGTTGGAAGGGCTGCTGGCGGGAGGTCGACCACACGTCGGGGAGACCCCTGAGGGGTGACCCGCATAGCCTCTTGAAGGATCAGTTCGGGCGGGGTCGGTATCGTAACCGCCACCGGTACCGAAGGGCCCGTCGGTTCCGAGTCCCGATTTTGGGAACGATCCGTAGGCTTAGCCTTCTTTGGAGGCTTAGAGGCCTTTTCCTTTCTGGCCTTCTTATGGCCTGCCGGCTTGTCTTCAGCATGTTTGCGCTTCTCATGCCTCTTTTTTGGTGAGGCAGAGGGGGCCAGCGAAGCGGACGTGCCTTCATCCGAAGGGCGTGAGGGTGGAGCCACAGAAGCGGAGCCCGGTTTTGGAGTAGAGATGGGCGGGTCTGATTGCATCAGAGCCCTATCCCAAAGGAGCCTCCGAAGCCGGTTTTCGCGGTTCTTCCTAGCCTGCTTAGAGAAGGCTAGGCAATGAACACACTTATCCGTCCTATGCCCTTCCCCAAGGCAGAGGAGGCATAGGTCATGCGGATCAGTAGGTGCCATTTTTGACCCGCAGTCAGCACATTTGCGGAAAGCCGCCCGCTGCGCCATCGCAGAAAGGGGAAGAAAAGAGAGATAGTGCAGAGGGTAAGTATGTATTTTTTTGGGGTTTTTTTTTTTTTTTTTTGGATCGAAGAAGAAATGAGAGAGAACTACACAGAATGGGGAACAAAATAAGGGGAAAGTAGTTTAAGGGCAATATATAAAGAGAGAACCAAGAATGGCCAAAGCGAAGGTCGAAAGCGGCGCGAGGCACAGCGAACGGCGGTCGCAAAGACTGAACAAATGGCGGACGCTCCGCTCTTTATAGCCCATGGGGGAGGGGAGCGGAGCTTCCCGCCAAAAACCGTTAGCTTTCAATCTTCTGGCCAAAGGCACTGCGCAGGCGCAGCACCCCCATATGTGTGATGCACAGAGGCCACGACGAAGAACTCTACAAGGTTATGAAGATAAATATTTCAGAATGTGAAGACATTCCAGATTAACGTTTTGCTATTATGTGTCCCAAAGACTGAAATATAGACCACTGTGGGTCTGACACTGCATAGGCAAGATCACACATTTAGCACTGAAACATGATCAAGCATTCAGAAGTTCCTTTCTGCAAATAGTGTTCTCATTCAGAACATTGTGACTGAGAACATATGCTTTTTGCCCAGTGTTGAAATCAGTTGTGCAAATGTGACTATCTGATCTACAGCTAGCCAGAACAAAATCCAGTGTTTCAAGCTTATTCAAGTATATACAGCATTTTACATCCTTGAGAAGTTCAACCATGTGTTTTCCGTTTAAAACCCTTTTCCAGATCTTCAAGCAACAAGCAAAAATACTAATAGAGACAAGCTGGGCCAATTTGGACAGTCATCTCTCAGCTTCATACACTGACCTGTTATGCTCCCTTCCTCAGGCAGGGGTATATTGGAGCCACCTTTACTTGTAAGTTTTTGCATCTAGTTACCACGCTGAGGCCCAGCCACCCTAAAGATTGTTGCTCAGGGCAAAGACTTACACCTCCTTTCTCCTCTTCCTGAATTTACATAAACAGAAGTTGCTTGAAGTACCTACCCTTCTGGCATCACTCTTCCTTGAAGCAAGGCTGTTTGTTCCTGAAAGACTTCCCCAGCCTCTCTGCACCTGAAGCTTCTGCACTGCTTCCACACAAGGTGTTGAGTCTAGGTTTCAGTACACCTGCAGTCCTTCCAGTTCTTTCTGCTGGGTACTTCCAGACTCCTTGCTAAAGGAAACCAGGGCTGGTGGTGCAGCAGTTCCCTCTATTCCTTCCAGTCCCTCTTCCCCACCTTTGGCTACATCCCAGAACTTAATAGTTTGCTCTTGATAAGCCCCAGCTGTTGCTGCTGAAGTTTCACTCTCCCACAGCTGGGCTAGACCACCCATACTGACTCAAGGTCGTCTAAGGCAGGCCTTCCTTTCACCTTTATTCTCAAACCTAGCTGCTTGGGTGGTTACAGCCACAGCATGAGGATGAGTTGAACTGGTGCCCTGTTACACACATGAATGAGCATTTTGCTCATTCATGCAACTTACACTCCTCTCTTCACAGGAGATGCAATTGAACCAGGAAGATTTCAGTTAGTCAGTTTTCCGTTTTGTCCAAACTGGAAAACTCTGCTTATTAACTTAGTGGCAAGCCAAGGCCTTAAACCACCATTTGAAGTTAGTTTAGGATTCTAACTTGTTCTAAAGCAGGTGACCAAGTTTTCTTACTCTGGGAGAAGTGGAAAGCTGTGACTGACTAGGGATTTCCTGGTTTTATTGTGGTTCACATAAAAAATCAGCATGCATAGGTAAAAGGATCATTCATATTTCAGTTGATTAAGCTACGTTCATCTCCACCAGCTCAATATTAAGCAAAATTGATTTTTTAAAGAAAAGGTAAACACAAAAAGTGCACCTATTGCAGTTGGACTTAGTCATGACTAACTTGACTCAATGATTTTAATGGGTTTAAGTCTAAACATGATTAAGTCTGGATCCAATCCAAAAGATTAACAAAAATACTATTAACGGCTCAGCATAGCAATTTGCTGCCCAAATTCTTCTGCCCTTTTCAAATGTGTTTTCAGTAGTTATCAAAATTTCCACTGTTCCAAATGCACAGATATGATTATTACTGAGATGGAATTCATTCATGAACCTACATCCGAAGGCTTCTTGTTCTTTGAAATGGCTGGAAAGGCTTTTTAAATGACCACGTGAACAGCATTGGTTTCTGCTTACTCTTTTCTAGAAATAGGGCTGCTTCACTTTCAGGAGTAGGAAATCGCTCCTTATATACATCAGGATAGGATTTCTGAAACTAGAGAGGAAACACACCAGGATTAGTCAAAGGATTTAGTGTGGCTGTTTAAAAGTGGCTTTTCTGATTTAAGCAAAATATTTAGAGTCTCTAACTACAAGAAAATCATTCATCTTATACTTTGCCAACATTAATGGCACATCACCTGAATTCAGAACAAAATTAGTTTTTAAATAATATTTAAAGTACTTCAGTTATTCAGCAATACAACTATATAAAATTCACCATGCAAACTGAAAAAATAAGGTCATACTACTCCATACTAACCACTGCCACTTTCCCACTATCCTCAACTCCAATAATTTTTTTAAATGGTCTAATTTAAAACATGAACATATTGTGTTATATAAAATAACAGTATTTAAAGCAGCAAAGTGACAGAATGTTAATGTGTTTTATATTTTTAGTGTTTTATATTTTAACTGATGTTTCGTAAGCCGCCCTGAGGCGAATGGGGCGGCATAGAAATTTTTAAATAAATAAATAAACGTTTCTAGTATATAAATTTATAGTTTTGAATGGAGATGCTCAACCTAACAATAAAATAAAATCCTTATTTTCCCACCAGAAATTGTCTACATCAGGAATAGGCAATGGATATCAATGTGCTCCTGGACACTTCTTTTGGTGGCCAGCAAAGGCCTTGCCCCTCTCACTGTGTGTGTGCGTCTGTTTTATCTTTTTAATTTTAATAAATCTGCACTTTTTCTTACCAGTAGGTAGAACTGCTGTGAAAGGTTTCTGTTGGTGGAGGAAACTGAAGCTCCAGGTGAGGGTGTTCAAAGATAGGCTGGACATGCACATGGTGGGCATGTCATGAGTGAAGCCGGCTGGTGCCGGAGGTCAGACTAGATGGCCCAGGAAGCCCCTTCTGACTCGCTCTGTTTCTATGTTTCTATTTCATGAGTGGGGCTCATGGCTCACATCTCTGCCTTGGGCGCAGTATCTTGGGCAGGTTACTTGTTCCTTTTCATGCAGTGGAGCTAGGACAGTTTCTCTAGTGGCCCCATGTGCCTACAGGCCCAGAGTGATTGCCTACAGCTGCTGCACACTCACACTGTGCAGCAGCTGTAGGCAAGAGGGAGTGCAATGGGCTTGCACTCCCTCTTAGGGACCAGGTCCGCAGCTTGGGAGTGCTCCTCGACCCAGAGCTTTCATTGGAAGCTCAGGTGACAGCGGTGGCGAGGAGCGCTTTCCTTCAGCTTCGGCTGATTCATCAGCTGCGCCCCTATCTGGAGTACGACTGCCTCTCAACAGTGACTCATGCACTGGTGACTTCCCGTCTTGACTTCTGTAATGCGCTCTACGTGGGGCTACCTTTGAAGACGGTCCGGATACTTCAATTGGTTCAAAATAGAGCTGCCAGGCTGCTGATGGGGACTGGGCGTTATGTTCACATGACTCCAGTTCTTCGTCAGCTTCACTGGCTCCCCATTGAAGTCCGGGCCCAATTCAAGGTGTTGGTGATGACCTATAAAGCCCTTAAAGGCTTGGGTCCTGGTTACCTGAAGGAGCGCTTACGTCCATATACGCCCGCCCGCCCCCTGAGATCTGTTGGAGAGGCCCTTCTCCGGGAACCCTCCGTGAAGGATATTAGGAGGGTAACTACTCGGTGGAGGGCTTTCTCTGTGGTGGCACCCAATCTATGGAATGCGCTCCCCAGAGAGGTCCGCCTGGCGCCGTCGTTATTTGTTTTTCGGCACCAGGCGAAGACCTTTTTATTCAAACGCTATTTTAATTGTTAATATTATTTATTTATTTTATTTTTCGGGCCAGGTCGACTCATATTATATTGTTTTATTCTGTCCTTATTTATTATTGTGAGCTGCTTCGAGGCTTCAGCGAATGGGGCGGCATAGAAGCCTTCTAAACAAACAAACAAACAAACAAACAAACATGCTCCTCAGAGAGGTGTGCCTGGTGCCGACACCTATTCTTTTCAGTGCCAGGCCAAAACTTTTTTATTTTCCCATTATTTAAAATGTTAATACTGTTTTAAAATTGGTTTTTATTTACTGCATATTTTGATGCTGTACTTTATTGTATTTCATTGTATTACCACCATGAGACACAGTGAAGGGTGGAATATAAAAGGTTTAAATAAAGAAAATAAAAATCAAGACTTTATACTTCTCTAGAGCTTTTGGGGTGCCTGATTGGTATGAATATCTGGCCCAAATTAATATGCACAGATTCCTAGAAGAAAGATTCCATCCCCAACATGCCTATGTTTATTTAGAACATTTCAAGAGAACCAAGGAAGGACTCACTGGAGAAGAGCCTAATGCTGGGAACAATTGACGGGAAAAGAAGAAGGGGACGGCGGAGAATGAGGTGGCTAGATGGAGTCACTGAAGCAGTCGGCATGAGCTTGAGTGGACTCCGGGGGATGGTGGAGGACAGGGAGGCCTGGAGGAATGTTGGCCATGGGGTCGCGATGGGTCGGACACGACTTCGCGACTAACAAGTAGAGAACCCCTGCACTTACAGCACTCTGTGTGTCAGTGTGTACGCATGCTTGTTTGTGTACAGTGGGTTTCTATGTGCAGCTGGAAACTCTAAAAACAGGAATCCAGATGAACTCTAGTCAGCCACCCCTCTGCTTTCCAAATGCATATAAATACATTGGTAAATATTCTGTAGCCCTACGCAAACTTTTATTTATGCAGTATGTTTATTTTGTGAGTCACCACATAGAAAAATTCTAGTAGCATAGCTACAAATATATGCATATGTATCATCCCATAAAATGATGAACTTGTAAGACCAGAATCAACCAGGAAAGTATATTTAAAGGAAAATTAGATAAGATGAATTAATTCCATAACGGAAGCCACAGCCTTGAGTTTACAAGAGTGGAGCGAGGCTATCAAGGATGGGACAATTTAGGTGGCATTCATGCATAGGGTTGCCATAAGTCAGGAATAACTTGTAGGTATATAACAACAACAGAAAAAACAGAGGGGAAGCAGAAAAGGAATATAAGATCAGAAAACCACCATCCAACTTATCTCACAATGGATATATATTTAGAAACATCAGCAACTGACAAACCCTTCAGTTAGACTGTGAAGAGAATTTCCTTTACCCGTTTCAGCTTTTTCTTCTTCTCTTTGATAGACATTTCGGAATTCATCACAATTTCTTCCAACAAACTTGCCAATGGTTCTTGAAAGGCATTTGTTCTTTGGTGTTCAAACTCATCCATGCTAACTTGATAACAGAACGATGGGGCAGGCAAACTTGTATCAGTATCGGCTCCTGGATATTTTATCTACATTAAACAGATGACAGGTAGGCAGCTCAGATATCTGTATTCCAAAAGATGAGTTGTGCATACATTTCTCCATAGAGGACAAATGTTATAAACTGAGAACAGAAGATGCTGATAATTACAAGATTTTCAGGTAGTAGCCCCTTGCTTGTGGTTCATCACTTTTAATTTAGGGTGTTGCCTTTAATTCTTTACTTTCAGAATGATGGTTATAACCTACTTTAGGGAGAACTGGAATATGGATGTAGAAATTATAAAGATACATTTCATGGAGCATGTCTCATGCCAGAATCTGCCCTTATCCAGTTTGGTAGGTATGTAACATTTTGTTTCACATCATTTTAGTGTTTTTGTCCCAATGTGGTATCCACAGATACCAATGTAACATGAAAAGCTTGTGCTGGAGACCACCAGAGCATCTATTTGCTTCTGTACGGGATGACCCTTTAAGTTCTCATCCTCAGCTGCACATGAGAACTTCCAGTCTGATTTGTGGCAGCTGGCCTTTGCATGGGTTGGAGGTGAGAGAAGGACCCCTGGTGACTGAGCTGTGCTGGAGCCGAACCACTGTGTGCATGGACTCAAAAACTGGGGATGAAAACCTTGTTTTAGAGCAATTTTGATTCAGTCTTAAGCAATTCCTATCTTCTCTCCCAGCCCACCCTGCCTAGTCCAGCAACTTCTTTAAAAGCCTAATAGTTCTGCAGAGAAGAAATCCTGAAAATCTGAGGCCAATTTCAACTTGACTCTCAACAGATTCATACATTAGCCTTGAATGGGCATAGCCTTGAAACAGAAAGTGTTTTCACTACTTTAATCCCTACTACTACAATTCTAACAGTTTATTTAAGCTTATATTTAATTTAAGGTTGTGGTTATCTAATTTAAGACCCAACATTAAACTACTGGTCTGCTTATTTCTTGTGCAAGAAGAATTACTTTGGCTGCAAGGAGAGAGTAGAAGAATTATGTTGGGGAAGGACAAAACATTTATCCTGGCACCCTCACCTGGACCCTTTGAAGATGTGATATGTGATCCTCTATTGCAGCTTTCAGGGTAGAAGGAATTTTTAAGATCTCATGATAATTGTCCATCAAGAATGACACCAGTTTAGCAGCCAGTAGCTCATTCAGGTCCACTTCATCTTTGGAACAAAGAATAAAGCGAGAAAAGGTTTGAACCATCTGAAACAGAAAGAAAAATAGTAAGATCCTTTATCAGAACAGATTTCCATTATCACCACCATCATTTCTTACATAATGATGTTGAAGATGCATTCTGCATTATGGATCTTGCACTGAGGACCTGAGGGTTAGACCACCAAGTCAAGTTGAAATTGGCCTCTATTTGTCAAGATTTCTTCCTCTCTGTTGGACTATCAGGTTTTTAAGATCATATCATTTAGAGCATTAATAGGCCTCGTTAGTGTGGCCCACAAGATTTTTGCCCCATAAAGCTGGCAGGTCATTTGGATGCTGCTGAAGAATTGCTTCCAGTACAGTTACTAGTCGCCCTTCTAACCAACTGAACAAGACACAGACCAATTCAGGTAGGGTTACCAAGACACAACCAGATTCCCTGGTTGAGCCTGAATGGTTCAAGTGACTTTCTACCTTTGCTTAAACTCCTTTTGTCTCTGTAGGAAACAGGCTTCCAAATATGCTGCACAGCAGGAAGTGAAAAAGAGAGAGGCTAAATGGTTGGGGTGGGAGGAACAATGCCTGCTTTACCAAGGAAATTAACAGGTATATTATCAAATTCCAAGTGGCTGCCCATGGATTTAAATTCTACTTATGCAGGGGTTGGGGGCAACTTCCAAACAATGTTTTTTAATGAAATTTAGTATTAATATTTAAAAATACTGTAATTCATTTTGTAATGAAGAACAGCCTTCTCCAAAGCAATTCCAAAATGATTTCAACAAGTCCTTCCTATTTCTGGCAGAAACACACCAGTGCTCTTGTTGCAACTGTGTCAGAGAGAGGTGGCAGTTCCTTATTTGAGCTAATCCTGGCCATCATAGTCATCAGCAACTGAAGTTTCCGTCGATTTGCTGGCGGAAGCAACAGACAGCAGATCTGCAGTGCTTCGATGGCCAGCTTCTCATTCTGTAGGAGACCTGAGTCAAAACATAAGCAGAGGACTATGTGTCAGCACTGGATGAGCATAAAGTTGTGAAGGAAGGAAAAAGATCTACAAGAAAAGCAACTGTGGAGACTTGTAATTAGCTGCCACAATCTCCTGAAAGACTCTAGGTTTGTCTGCTAATCTGCCTTGAAAATAATCACAGCATAGTTTGTTGTGCTCACCAAGTAATAAATGATAGCAATGAAGAAGATTATCACCTTGAATAACTTGAGGAAAAATGAGCCTCATTCATTAAATGTATTCAACAGGATCCTGAAATGATCACAGTCCTTCCATACTGACTTAGAATAGAATCGTACCAAATAGTTGAAGAGTGGTAGAGTTGGAAGGGGGCTACAAGGCCACTGAGTCCAACCCCCTGCTCTACTTCCACATGTGACCACCCACGCAGCTGCAGGTCTGTGCTTTTCCAGCTTAGCAAAGATGGCAGGACATGCCAGCTTGATGTATAGATATGCAAGCAAGGAAGAGATAGACATTTTATATATGCTATGAAAATAAAAGGATCCAAAATGCCTAATCCTGCCCAGAGGCTTGTGGCTCCCTGCCTGATTGGTTTTAAATGGCCCTTAAAGACACGGCCATTCCAGGGTGCTTTTAATTGAATGTAGGCTGACTTTTTACCATGAAAACATTTTTGTACCCATTTTGAATGTTCTATGTTACTGTTGTTAATTTTCTTTTATAGTTTATGGTTTCAGGATTTTATTTTGTGAATCACTATGGGAGAAGCTATGCTCCAGTGTTATTCAAACATCCAAATAAATATTCCATGCTATTCTTCTCCCGCACCCCCAAAAAAGTTTAAAACAGTGACACGTGAGATGTTTGGTTTTACTTTCACCGAACCCCTGTAAAACAGTAATGATCTGGCATATCTGGGCTGGTCATACACATAGCTATTGTGCTGGAACGACTGGGCACATGGAACCAGCACACACAGCAGACTGCCTGAATGAAGGTCATTAAGGTGTCAATCAATAAAAGCTTGCCAGACTTGAGCCAAAGTCAAGCTCTGTTGTGCTTTAACAGAATTGCAACAAACTGCCTGAAGAAGAGAAAGCAGCCAAGAGCATATGATGCAGTCAATCTCTCTCCAAAGACTGAGTCTGGAAACCAGCTAAAAGTTTACACATACATGTCTTACAATTCCCTTGTCTGTCCTAACTATGCTTGGCCACTTTACATGTGCACCTACACTCTTTATGGTCAGTAGAAACTCAGATCTCCTTTTGAACTATGCTGTGCAAATCAGCCCAAATCCTTCTTATTGTTATAGGAACTCCAGTTACCATTAACCAGTTAGTGTACAAGCACTTTTGTGCCAATAAGAAGGAAGAAAAGGATGAGAAGAAAGAGGACAGCCTGGTTATTTCATAATTATGGTTATAACTCAGTAGCATTACATCTTCTCTAAGCCCAGCATTGTTAGAGGAAGAAATAAGATTGATATGTACTTCAACGGTGTTCATGTGGAAAGTAAGCATAATAACATACCAAAGAAATTCTCTTTGGCAGTATCCACATAGTATTTGGAAGGTCTTTTTATAACATGGTTTTTTAAAGATGCTAATTTAAGTACTATTGAACATTCCATGCTACTGATATTACTTAGCTTTACAGTCAAACTCCTTTCTAACAGACATTCAGCAAAACAAACCAATCAATCAAAAGGTTTACTGCTTGTTGCCCTAGGTCATTACAAACTGCAAAACTAAAATATCTAAAATAAGGGAATAAACCATAAATATTGGAGATACTCTCATTTACCACAGACAATAACTAAAATACAACTTTCATTAACAAATAAACAAGCAAATACCCATAATTAGTTTGATTGAGTTTATCCAGTTAAGAAATCCCCTTTTCAGCCCACTGCTGCCTTCTTCAGTAGTGCAAGGGCAGAACACCCCATATTTGTAAGCAAAATGTAACTGCTGAGATTGCCTCTGTATTATCAGCCTTCCTGAACTTCAGTATAGCATGAAGTGCCTGATCCTGCCTAATCTTTGAAGCTAAGTAAAGTCAGGTCTGGTTGAAATCTGGATGGGTGACTTACACATTGGGAACTGCTATTTGGCTATGGACGGTAAAGAACTGTAATGTAATAACTTGGCGCTCTTCAAATTTCTTGGATGTAAACTCTTACCTGAATCAGGGTGCATGACCAACAGTTAGGCATGCTGAGTGTTGTAGCTGAAAACACCTGGAAGGTACCATGTTGGGGAAGGCTGCCATGGCTAACTAATTAAGTGCAAACTGAAGTCTGGCACCCCTTGACTCTCATTTGACCTAAGCAGAATGTTCTGGTCTTTCTTTCTGAAAGGCTTATGGGATGCTGGATGTTCCCTGTCAAGCTGCAGTCCTAGTTAAATTATGTCACATTGTCACCTCATCTGTAAGCATATGACACAAGCAGCTGCAATGGGAAGGCCTTTGCATTCACAGCTGTATAAGCCAAGGCCTTTTTGCTGCAGATGTTCACATTGTTTGTGTGGACGCCTGTAGGCAAGGTTATGATGCGACATAACACAGAAGGGAGGACAAGTCCACATTACTTGTTCCTACTCACATGATGAATTTAGAGCACTTTTTAGAGCACATGGATATAGCTGCTATGTTTTGTTTCATTATGGGTTTGGGTTTCTCCCAGGAAGGAAAAGAGGGATATAAGCCATACATGAAATAAAGCTAAAACAGTATGAAACTTATGAACTGTGTTTTGATTTAATTTAATGTGGAGCTCAACATAGGATATGAACATTGCTTATTCAAGAGCCTACCAATGAAGAAAGTAGCTAATGGCGTTCCTCTGAATGCATAGTTTCCTGAAATCTCACATATATAATTTTACTGACTTATAATTTTATGGACTTACTGTCCTAAGGAGGAAACCCTCTGCTGAGCTGGGCTGCATGAAGAACACAAAGAGAAAGGATATTTACCCCTGCCCCTTTTCCGATAGCCTATTCAGACACCACAGTAATACTCCAGATATTACGATCTAGATGTGACAGCCTCTAATGCTGAAAGAGGTATAAGGACCTCTTCCAAGTTTAACAACAAATACAACATGTCTGACTCCCCCAGAAGCTATACTGCAGGATAACTTACCTAGTACACTGACAAAGACATCAAAGAACTGGAAAGTGAGAAGAGGCTCCTTCATATGGCCATAGTAATCTACTATGGTTCGGAAGACGTCTCTTTCAAACCCAGAGTAAGTTGGCTGTCTCAAATCAGGACACCTGGGCCCTAATGAAATAGGAGTGGGGGGCATGAATAGAGGGGAAACAAGAAGGATGAATTCCTGTTTAGCTTGTGCTGGTTGCAGAAATATTACTATGTTTCTAGCCAATGTCACGGTAGGAGTTAACTTGCACCATATAAAAATCAAAGAAAATATTTGACAAGTGAGGTTAATAGCTTCCCTTAGTTTGTACTCTCCAGAAGTCCAGATTTTCTTACAGTTCTGAACTTCCTAGATGAGCAAGGTGGTCAAATGTACAGGTGTACCCGAGGTACCAATCTCTCATTCAGCAGGAACACTGTTGAATATGTGCAGAGAATTATCTCTCCAGAAGTGTCCTTGAAGAATAGTTTTTCTTGGCTCCTATCCCCATACATAAATAATTCCAGTGATGGGGCATGAGCAACCACAAGTATTCCTGGAGGACCACTATGAAACGTGAGTGAAGGGCAACAGTGATCAACAGTTGGTCAACAGTGCAATTCCATGCCCTGGCAGCATGTCTGGCTTGCACAGGTGCCACCTCCTCCACATCTCTTTCCCTGAAGGATACGGAGGGCCACTGAGCATACTCTGGTGGAAGGGGCAGATCAGTGGTGGTCAATTTGGCCCAGTTACCAATCAAGATTTTAATCCAGTTGCTTTCACATGCCTGTTTGGTGCTGCCGCCATGGTGAAAGAGTAACTGAACTGGATGACTGCTGAGGAATGGGCAGTATGCAAGACTGCCTGTGTACTAGTGCAACCTGCTGCTAGCACAACTGCAATGAGGGGAAACAAACACTCGTGTCCAGGTCCAGGCAGATCAATCTGCAGAAGGATGCTCTCCTGTTCCCTTTGCATTCCCAAAATGAATGATTTTGCTTGTTCCTTGCACTCCTGTCAGAAGCGCTGGTTCCTATTGAGCAAGTGGTGAGCCCCACTACCATACCAGAAATGCTGGAAGTCAAGTGGATGAATTGGATAAAGCAGCCAATACAATGTAATAAAACAGCCAATACAGGGATCTAAGATGACTTCCAGTGGCGGTGGGGATTTATTTATTTAGAAAATTTCTATGCCACCCCATTCGCCGAAGCCTCGGGGCGGCTCACAAAACATCAATTAAAATATAATATTTTAAAAATATAACACCTTTGTTTATCCAGTGATATAAAGAATCTGCAGCAACTGAGCCACAAAACCATTCAAAAGAACTTGGTTTTTCCCTGTCTTTCAAACAATGTTTTCTGGTCCTTCAATTCTCTAACCCCAAACTCCTCAGCATGATGTGTCAAACCCAAAAACCCCTAGGGACTTTCCACATCCTTCCCAATCCAAAAATCAATCAAATTGCAGTAAGCATCTTCCTGGAACAACTCGTGATGCTGCACAGCATGTGGAGCTACAGAATGGGAGGACTGGCCCTTCTTTGCGGCACTTGTGCCACTCACCTTTGGCTTAGGAAATAGCAAAGCTGTCAGAGCAAATTGAGAGATCCTACAAGGTTGGTATACTGCTGAAAAGTCCAGCAAGAACTTAAATGGGTCTTCTGGTATCCTTTAAAAAGAGTTGTGGATAATCTAAAAGAAAAATCCTTCTACAATTTTAGCAAGGGTCTTAAGGAGGTTTCATTTGGCTTCCTCCGGTGTAGTTTAGTAGACTGATGGGGTCACTTGAGATTAGGTTCCTTCCCATGCCAACCATGTTCCAAGTTCCAGGACCCAGGCATGGGAAAAGACTGTATTGGTAGGCCTAACCCAGATCCTGGACAAAATCTCAGAAGAGAAAACGCCTGTTCTGAAGACAAAAACCCTGAAAATTGCCATTTTATTGTTCGTATTAATGTTTGTAAACTAGCTAGATGGAGTTACTGAAGCAGTCAGTGTGAGCTTAAATGGACTCCGGAGGATGATGGAGGACAGGAAGGCCTGGAGGAATGTTGTCCATGGGGTCGCAATGGGTTGGACACGACTTCACAACTCACAACAAAACTGCTATTGGGGCAGTATATAAATGCAATAAATGAATGAAATGAATGAATAACTTTGGAGCAACCAATGCACCTCAGCTTCTCTCACTCTCTTGAAATACTGAATTTCTTTCTGCCCAAGGGTAAAATTCAGTTTTGGGGGTGTTCTCAGGGGCACAGTGCAGTAGGGGTAGGAGCAAATGCAAACAAATCTGCACATTTATTTATTTATTAGGATATTTCTAACCTGTCCAATACAAAACATCTCTAGACAACTTACATAGTAATAAACATCCAATAAATACAATGGCAAGATATTGTACCTTAAAGAACTCATTACCAATAACTAAGCATTAGGAGAGACATATGAACCTTTCAGAATAAGGAAAAGAATTGGAGAAAAGCCAGGAAGCTACCAGTGGTGGAGGGAAAGTGGTGGGGCCTTCTGGGTAACCCCAGGGGACTGGGTTGGGAGGGTTAGATTTGGCCCCTGGGCCTGAGGATCTTAATGTACACCCTGACATTAAGATCCTTTGCAGGACCAGAGATGGCAGAAGGTCCAAGCAGAGCTGGGGGAAGTCTGGCAACATAAATCCTACTTGGGAGGAGGAAGCCAGACTCTGGAGCAAAGTCCTGCCTGAGGATTGGGAAAGAGTAGAGTGCCAGAGTGGTCATAAGTTGTTGAGTTACCTCATCCCACTGTCAGTTCTGGACATCTGGATCCTTTGGAGCACACAGCTGCTTGGACTTTGCTGGTGTTCAGCAGAGGTGGTAGGAATAGGAAAATGTTATTGAGCAGGTGGTGGAGTTGGGGGGTGGGAAGAACCACTGTAATCGTTTTCATACAACAGAAGATAATATTGAATGAGGCAGATTACAGATCTGGCCTAGTCAAAATCCTTCTCAAAACAGAAAGCATATTCTTTACCTTGCTGAAATAAAACCAATACTTACAATTTGCCAGACATTTCATTGCCGACAGCACCCAGTGTGGAAGATCCTCTGCATTTAATATAGATGAGAATTTTCAAAACAATGGTCAAATATATTAGCATGCCAACACAAAGCAGATGTGTGTTTTCATGCCAGAAATCACACCACAGAGGAGTTACTGCATCAGAGGAAGGAGGGACTGTGAAAAGTGAGTAGCACAGGATCTTTTGCTGCCCTTTCTGAGCAGCCCATCAACCGACATGCAGTCCTATGTCTATTTAGACCAGGGGTCCTCAAACTTTTTCAACAGGGGGCCAGTTGAATGGTGCCGGCGATGGGCGTGGGCCACCAAGGCGGTGCTAGTGGCGGGCGCGGGGCAGGGTGGTGGGTGCTTGGCAAGGCCGGGGTGAGCGCAAGTGGAGATCACCTTCTCCGAGCAAGTCCAAAACGATCTCCTTGCTTGCAAGCTGCTGCTAGGCACACACACGGCGAGGCACCTGCTTGCTCGCAAGGAGATCCTTTTCTCCAAGCGAGTCTAAAACAATCTCCACATGAGCAAGCCGCTGCTTCGCCATGAGTCCAAGACCTCTATGGCGGGCCAGATAAATGGGCATGGTGGGCCGGATCCAGCCCGTGGGCCGTAGTTTGCGGACCCATGATTTAGACAGAAAAAGGCCTGGGAGTCATAGGCTTGCTTTTGTGAAAACATTGACCCCTTAATAACTTCTGTCAGAAACATGTACAGTAAACTTTCTGCCTCAGTCTTAAGCTATAAACCAAATTACATAGCCACAAATATTCACTGTGCACCTTTGCACAGTGTGATCCTTTCTCAAGTAAGGTCCACTTCATACATGGCATAGATGGACAACAGCAGCAATGAAAAACAACTTCATGTACCCTGGCAAGTTTGTTTCATTTGTGCAGCACAGACAGCCTTTCCAATGGATGTAACCAGGGAAAAGGAAATGCAAATATAGCCTGCAAATAGGACATGGTAAATGAACATGTGATGTTTTTCTACAGAAATGTTCTCCATGTAAGGGAAACATGTGACCCATGATTAAAAAACAGACATGGAACTGCATAAATTCTGCTCCTGTGACTTCCATTAGTGCACTGTACAATGGAACATACCCAGAAAGAGTCAGTGCCAGATAAATGCAATCTTCAAGCCAAGAAGTGATATACTTCCCCTTTGGGAAGGTACTCTGAAGATGAGTTGCTCTGTGCTTCCAATTCTCATAATAAAAAGAGTTAATCATGGGGTGCAGAAGTTTGGAGTAGGAACTTGTGGATCCCTACCCCAATATGAGACAACTTTTTTCTGTCATCAGGATTATGCCAATCAGCACTTTTGGCTCACTCTTGGGATGTACAAGTCTGACTAGGATTCACTAAGCTAATCATCACAGTTTGTACTTTGTGCAGTTCAGTTCCTCCTGCCACCCGTTTATATATCCTGCCCTCCCCACACCCCACTACAATTTGAGATTAGCACTTTATGCATCTGATGCAGTAAGACTGTCTGCTGCTTTTGCTGCGACAGACTAACACGGCTACTCTGATGGCGAAAACATTTCCCAGGGATTTTTCGACCTAGAACACGGCTCTTAAGAGTGTTTAGACATCCAAATGGAGACAGGAAAAGCAAGGAAGAAAGAAGAGACAGACTTTCCTGCTGCTGATCAAAGTTTATTGCTGGGCTTTGTTCAACAGTCCAGAATTCTGGATTTGGCCATTGCCAACTACCTAGGAATGGGGCATTCATCCTGTATCGTCTGAGAAGTCAGGTGGGAAGTGGTGAGTGGCAAACAGCACAGTTGTTTGTTCTAACATGACTCTAACATTGAACAAGTTAAACAACCCATGGGTTGTCACCACATCTGAACCATGTTATAAATTTTGATAAGGACTAGGAAACCTTTTTTTTGGATCAAGGTCCACATTCCTCCAGAGATAATCTGTCAGAAACTCTGGGGAGTCGGTGGGCCAAGACCAGAACCAAAACTGGGTGGGCTCACCACCCCCCTCTCTCTGCTCTATTATTGCATATTTTACCTTCATTTACTTCCTAGCCATTAAATTTGCCTACATGTCCCTTTCAATTTATTTCCCAGTCCAAAAAATTGTGTAAATATTCCCAGTAATGTAAAAAGAAAAAAAATGTTAGGGAACCACAGTAACTGCTCTGAAAAGGAGCTACTAAAAGTGGAGAAGAGTCCCTATATTGAAGTAGGGGGGCACTGGACAATGGTCAAAAAGGTGGAGGATACTGAGAAGTGTCTGCTCAACATGTTAAACGGGCAAATCACAGATATGCTCCCCCTCTATTTTGCTGCACTCAATCTTTGACTTGCCCCTGGCATCACTAATAAAAATGGAGGCAGCAAAACACAAAACAAAAGGGGAAAGGAAATGAACAATAGTCCATCCAAAAACTCATGTTGGCATCAGAGGAAGGACAGCCACTGGCAAGACTGTGACAAGTGGGCAACATGTGATTTTTTTTTTAACTGCTCTTCCTGAGTGGTTCTATAGGCAATCATGGCAACCCATGATAGAACTGGTCTCAGGCTCAGATGGCACAGCAGTCCAGCATAGGCAAGGACATTCCTACAACTAGCCATAGGATCTCTGTGCTGCTTGTTTGCAAATGAACAAGCTACCTCGGGGAAAATGCTCCTGGTTCAGATAAAATTACCACCAACCACGGTGGGTTGTGGTGTAGTCTGAACCCAGACTCTGTTTCTTTTCCTTCCCACCCAAGCAGTTGCCAGGGCAGTGATTGGTTGCTCTTGCCAAATGTCTAAACTGTGGTATACAACCTTTTTGACCAGGAAGACCACATGTGATACTTATTCAAAGATCACCAACCACATTCCCTCTCCCTCACACACAGTGATCCCAAAAAGATCACTGTGTTTCAACCTAATGCCATAATCTATCCATCCCTGCTTAAATTAGTTCTGCCCCAGAATCTTACCCCTACTGAATGACTGGAAAAGCAAGCACATGTTTCCAAATGTGAACTACAAATTGAACAACTGACTCCACTTACTTGATTTATCTTCCAAAATGACAACACCTTGCTTATTGACATTATATACATTCTGAATTATATGCTTTGGATTGACAAGTTTAGCATCCAGTAGGTCAGTCAGTGAATCCAAGCCTAAAGCTTTTTGCAAGCTGTATAAAGACACAGAGATACAGACTTGTCAGACTAGCAACAGTTAGTTGGAGAGGAATCACACATTACAACTAAATAGTTCATACTTCTACTGAAATACCAAATTTTAGTGCAATTGAAAATGATTTTCTACTATACACTAATGAGAAAAGGCAGTAACTCAGTTCTAAAAACCAAACACACCATTTGCAGGCATAGAGACTGCATCTCAGACTTGAAACCAAACCACATGGGTGCAGTCTAAGCAGGAAAACTAATGTGCAGAGGGAGGATAATGCAACTCTTCCCTTCCAGCATAAATACTTCACACAGCTTTCCATGGTTATGTTTTCATGCAATGTTAACTGGCAAAAATTATTTCTTAGCATTCCTTCCTGCCTTTCCATTTAAAAAGTCCAAGGTTGCAATGAATGAATGAATGAATGAATGAATGAATGAATGAATGAATGAATGGTGTTCATTTTCAAACCATAGCATAATAAGTGTATTATGGGTAGAACAGAAGCAATAAGGTTGATTGCAAACATCACAGGATTTAGAAAGATTGGAATTGCAGGCCAGTAGCAGGATTCAACAGGCAGGTTGTGAAGAGAAAACAGCATTAGGTTATACATTTGTTAATTGTCAAATTTGTATTTTCTTACTTCTGCGCTGGGATTTAAAAAAATACTTACTGTAGTAACTGACTCTGAAAGAGAAGAGAACATACAAGGTGCTTACCGGGACAGTGTCATGGATCTCCATATCGCTTCTAAATTTGCCTCTGTTAATTGCTGGCGATGTACAAGTTTGCAGGTAGGCACTTCTCCAATTGCAATACTGTGACGTTTGAACCACATTTCTGAATTCTACAGAAGAAAAAAAATCCCAACAATGCTTAGTTTGTCATTTTCGTTTAATAAAGAAACAGACTTGAATTTAAAAAAATCAGTTGTAATGAAGTCCAGTTCAAAACAATAAGAGAAAAGTCATGTAATAATCAATTATTCTTTCTCTAGGTACATTTCTAAGTAAGGAAGAGAGCATAGTGACATACAGGAAGACCCTGGCTTATGAAGTCAAATTTAAGCCAAATTTGTATGTAAGTCGGATCATATAGTTGACCCTCCTCATTCGCAGGGGCTGGGGCACAGAACCCCTGTGAAAGTGGCAAAACTGTGAATATCTCTAGATGTCTCCCCTCCACACTCACTAGTTGCAGTAAGGAAATGCGGGAGATTTTCCTCTCTGGATGGGCAGGGCAGGGCAGGGCAGGAAGTCGTATTTTGGAGGCTTCCCTCTCTCCCCTTTTGCTTCCCCCCTTTTATGGTGATGATGATTTTCCACAGTAACTTTTAAAATTTAATAGGCCTTATGACAGTTCCCTCATAAATATGGATTGTTTGTGACTCAGGCATTTTCAAGTTGGGGACTGCCTGTATTGTAATGTACATCTTCAACATCAAATCAATTTTGTATGGGTAGAAATCTTACCAAAGTAATAGGTTTCACTAGGATGCGTTCTTGGAAACTATCTCTTTCAAGATCATTCCAGTTTGGAAATTTAATAATTTCTTTTCGGTAAGGAGATCGTTTAGGATATGGTTTTAGCGGTGAAAAAGGAGGAAATCTAAAATTAAAAAGAACACTTTAAACCCATCATGAAGTCCAGCTTGTGAATACCATGAAAAAATTATTTACATATTTGTATTTTCCTGCTGCAATCCAGTTGTTTGCTGTGCATGCATGCACACACAAGATGTTTAAACATTGGCCTTGTTAACTCGGAACAAGGTGTTAATCCTCACTGAACAAACAGAATAAATTTCTACTGTTCCATCAAGATGCTAAGAAGGTCGATGGAGTCAAATGACAAGGAGTATTGTCCACTTAAGGAAAGGGGATGGGCAAAAAGACAGAAGCTACTATTTTTCTAACGAACAGTTTCTATCTGTGAGAAAGCAGATCTGAAAAGCAAACATGGCTGAATAAAGAAAGCTAAACCCACCAAATGAAAAACATCTGACAAACTTTATGATGGGGCCCTGAACCACTTTCATCCCAAGAGCTGAATGAAGTTTTGGAGGAGCTCTCATGGGACATGTTCAAATGGAAAAGAACTGGATGAGCATAACATAGTTTAAACCTCATCTTGCAAGTACCTAAGCCTTAGGAGACATTTCAAACATTTGGAGTTAGGACCAAATTGAAGAAACACCAGGAAACCACACAATAATCAGTGGCTGTGGAAAATGATATGGTCATCTGGAGAAGCCCGCAGGACTACACAGAACCCCAAGAAGGCATGATTTGACTTCCCGGCTGGAGGTTTCCAACCTGTGCTTTACCGAAGCATAAAGAGACAGTGCCCTGGCTAAGCAGCCTGAAACATAAAACAGAACAAATTAGTTCAGGTTTCTAACACACTGAAAGCATCACCACTACTGAACCACCCAGGGATGCAGGATTATACACAAAAAGGCAGGAGAAAAGGAAAGTTGCTTGGCTGCTAAGCAGTGCTTCCCAGTCCTCTCTGTGACTCTTTTACACCGATGAACTCAGAACTGTTGATTCATTCTGCAAACGCATCTGTTGCCCTTCTTATTGTCCTAATCTCTTTAAAAACCTGAATCAGTACAAATGAACTCTTAGCTTGTACCTGTCTTTGGTGTGAGCACTCCCTGATTGCTATGCCAATGCTCTTAACTACACCAGCTAATTAGACAGACAGTTAGGACTTGACCCTACATCTTGTGTACTCACAGCCCCAGTTCTCATTTGTGCCAGAAACAAACGAAAATAATTATTTTTAAAATAACTAAGATGGTATTTTGGTTTCATTCATCACTAACTGCTGCATGAAACATTTCCCCAATATATTTGGCAGAAGTCTATACCATTTGAGCAGGCATCAAAAAGATCCCAAATGAAATTACTGTATATACCAGTGTACGAAATGACCCCTGAAACCAGATATAATGAAGCAAAAATGGGGGAGGGGAGGGGAGGGTTGTTGCCTTATACGTCAGGTGAAAAAAATGTCATTATATTAAATTCATTGTTTTTAAAAAGGATATATAGTAAAACAAATGTATTTACAAGATCATTTTTATTAATAATCATTAAAAAAACTTTTTACTAGTACTTGAGGAGTTCATCCTGCATTGCATAATTACCGCACAGGACTCCTCCCTCTCACCTGCCCCCCCCACACCATCCCTGTCCACGACACTGGCACAGCTGTCTTCCCCAACCCACCCCAGCCAGCTAGCCTCCTTGTGGGCTGCTGCTGGCCTCCCAGTTGGAGAGGGACCATGACTATTAGCTAGAATACGGTAACACGAGCTCACTAGAAGCTTCCAGTTGACAAATACCTGTATAGTCTGGTGTATAAGAGCCCCCTGAAACTGAAAATAGCAAAACAAAACGTGGGGGTTGTCTTATGTGCCCACAAATGACAAGTACCAACAAAAAGCCCAAAATATCGACCTTGTCTTATACACGAGTCACCTTTTACGCGTATGTGGTATATACAGTATTATGGTGGGGCTGCAGAGCCACATTGTGCTATAATACAATGGTCCACCAGAGGGGGTTCCAAATATATTTAAGGTCCCTAAAAACGAATAGCAATAAAAAGTTTCAGTGGACCTTGAAAACTACAATTTTAATTCAATGCAAGCAATTTTCAAGCAAACTGTTCATTCTATAAGCTTCATATGTTCATAAAATGGTGGTTTGTTCATAAAAACTGAGTAACTGATGTCAGGCTACAGAATAGCTAATACCAACCAATGGTAAATTCTGAATATCCCTTGGTATTTTTTTCTTTCACAGTTGGAAGCTAGAAATTTATCCTTCCTATAGTTCACATTAATTTTAAGCCCCATCCATTTTTGCCATTAAAAAAGCTGTTTAATGATATACACTTGCCTTAGACTCCTTCCTAGATCACTGCCTTGTCATGGCGAAGGGGCTTGCATAGTTCAATGAAGCTATGAGCTATGCCGCGCAGGGACACCCAAGACAGACAGGTCATAGCAGAGAGCTCAGAGATCATGACAAAATGTGATCCACTGGAGAAGGAAATGGCAACCCACTCCAGTATCTTTGCCATGAAATCCCCATGGACAGTGCCAAAAGGCAAAAAGATATGATGCCGGAAGATGAGCCCCTCAGGTCGGAAGGTGTCCAATATGCTACTGGGGAAGAGCAGAGGGCTAGTACTAGTAGCGTCAGAAAGAATGAAGCGACTGGGTCAAAGCCGAAAGGACACTCAGTTGCAGATGTATCTGGGGGTGAAAGTAAAGGCCAATGCTGCAAAGATCTATACTCCATAGGAACCTGGAATGCAAGATCCATGAATCAAGGCAAGCTGGATGTGGTCAAACAAGAGAAGACAAGACTGAACATCGACATCTTAGGAATCAGTGAACTAAAATGTACAGGAATGGGTGAATTTAATTCAGATTACCATCAGGTATACTACTGCGGGCAAGAATCCCTCAGAAGAAATGGAGTAGCCTTCATAGTCAATAAAAGAGTAGGAAAAGCAGTACTCGGATACAATCTCCAAAATGACAGAATGATCTCAGTTCAAATCCAAGGCAAACCATTCAACATCACAGTAGTCCAGGTCTATGCCCCAACCACTGGTGCGGAAGAGGCTGAAGTTGACCGGGTCTATGAAGGCCTACAACACCTTCTAGAATTAACACCAAAAAATGATGTCTTCATCATCATGGGGGATTGGAATGCTAAAGTAGGAAGCCAAAAGATAACTGGAATAACAGGGAAGTTTGGCCTTGGAGTACAAAATGAAGCAGGGCACAGGCTGGTAGAATTTTGTCAAGAGAATACGATGGTCATAGCAAACACTCTTTTCCAACAACCCAAGAGATGACTCTACACATGGACATCACCAGACGGTCAACACAGAAATCAGAATGACTATGTACTCCGCAGCCAAAGATGGAGAAGCTCTACACAGTCAGTAAAAACTAGACCAGGAGCCGATTGTGGCTCAGATCATGAGCTTCTGGTTGCAAAATTTAGGCTTAAAAGTTGAAGAAAGTAGGGAAAAGCACTAGGCCACTCAGGTATGACCTAACTCATATCCCTGATGAATATACAGTAGAGGTGACAAATAAATTTAAGGAATTAGATCTGATCGACAGAGTGCCTGAAGAACTATGGATGGAGGTTCACAACATTGTACAAGAGGTAGCAACTAAAACCATCCCAAAGAAAAAGAAATGCAAGAAAGCAAAATGGCTGTCTGAGGAAGCTTTACAAATAGCTGAGGAAAGAAGGGAAGCAAAAGGCAAGGGAAAAAGAAAGATACAAACAATTGAATGCAGAATTCCAGAGAATAGCTAGAAGAGATAAGAATGCCTTCTTAAATGAACAGTGCAAAGAAATAGAAGAAAACAATAGAACAGGGAGGACCAGAAATCTCTTCCAGAAAATTGGAAAACTGAAGGGATCGTTTCATGCAAAGATGGGCATGATAAAGGACCAAAATGGAAGGGACCTAACAGAGGCAGAAGAGATTAAGAAGAGGTGGCAAGATTACACAGAAGAACTATAGAAGAAAGAGCTTAACGTCCTTGATAACCATGATGGGGTGGTCACTGACCTCGAGCCAGACATCCTGGAATGTGAAGTCAAATGGGCCTTAGGAAGTTTGAGCAACAACAAAGCTAGTGGAGGTGACAGTATTCCAGCTGAGCTATTCAAAATCTTAAAAGATGATGCAGTAAAAGTGCTACACTCAATATGCCAGCAAATTTGGGAAACTCAACAGTGGCCGCAGGATTGCAAAAGGTCAGTTTACATTCCCATCCCAAAGAAGGGCAATGACAAAGAATGTTCAAACTACCGCACCATTGCACTCATTTCACATGCTAGCAAAGTTATGCTCAAAATCCTACAAGCTAGGCTCCAGCAGTATGTGGACCGAGAACTACCAGAAGTACAGGCAGGATTTCAAAGAGGGAGAGGAACTAGAGAGCAAATGGCCAACATACACTGGAACATGGAGAAAGCTAGGGAGTTCCAGAAAAACATCTACTTCTGCTTCATTGACTATGCTAAAGCCTTTGATTGTGTGGATCATAACAAATTGTGGCAAGTTCTTAAAGAGATGGGAGTACCAGACCATCTTATTTGACTCTTGAGAAACCTATATGCGGGTCAAGAAGCAACAGTGAGAACTGGACACGGAACCACTGATTGGTTCAAAATTGAGAAAGGAGTTCGGCAAGGCTGTATACTGTTGCCCTGCCTATTTAACTTATACGCAGAGCACATCATGAGAAAGGTGGGACTAGATGAATCACCAGTTGAAATTAAGATTGCTGGGAGAATATCAAGAACCTCAGATATGCAGATGATACCACTCTAATGGCAGAAAGTGAAGAGGAACTAAAGAGCTTCTTGATGTGGGTGAAGGAGGAGAGTGCAAAAGTTGGCTTGAAACTCAACCTTAAGAAAACTAAGATCATGGCATCCAGTCCTCTCACTTCCTGGCAAATAGATAGGGAAAGAAAAGGAGGTAGTGACAGATTTTATTTTCCTAGGCTCCAAGATCACTGCAGACAGGGACTGCAGCCAAGAAATTAAAAGACG